ACAAAAACAGAAGTTGCTGGAAAAGCTCTGCAGGTCTGGCAGCATCCGTGGAGGAAAAAAAAAATCAGAGTTAACGTTTCGGGTCTGGGTGACCCGAAATGTTAACTGATTTTTTTTTCTCCACAGATCCTGCCAGACCTGCAGAGCTTTTCCAGCAACTTCTGTTTTTGTTCCTGATTTACAGTATCGACAGTTCTTTCAGTTTTTAAATCGAGTTTTAGGTGACCTCACCTTTAGGATAGAATATGGGAAACCAACCTGGAGTGTGATATATCAGTTACTAGTCCAGACATTAAAAAAAAAGTACAGACAAAAGCTTACGCAGATGAGCTTAAGAGACGAAGTCGAGTGATTTTCCATAGTTAAACAGGCAGTCTTAGAGATGGCACAAATGAAGTCAGAATATTATCTGAGGATCAAATGTGGCACTGTGGGTGTGAACAGACTGGTGATCTCATGCTTTTGCTAGAGACAAGGATGGAATCTATAGCTAGAGATGGGAGTTTGGAGCAGATTGAAAACAATGGCTTCGGTCTTCCCAATGTTCAAAGTGGAAATTTTGGTCATCCAGTACCAGATGTCAGATAAACAGTCTGATAATGTAACTGAAAAATAGGGAGTGGGCTAAAGACTGATCCTTGGGGATAGTAGAATCAAACTGTCCCTGAATCTGGACATGGTTCTGAGTTTCATTGGACTTTTCAAATTGCAAGATAGCTGCTAGATTACAGAAGAATCAAAAAGAGCACTCACTGCTCCATATATTTCAAAATGGACTAAAAATATTTAGGCAAAGAAAAAAAGGAATTCAGTTAAAATTCAAAAAAAAATTAGATCATTTACTTGGTTTCCTCAACTTCCTCCCTGCAGGTCTCATGAATGGCTCAGCTCCTTTGAGGTATGATTCCACAGATGCTGGTCTGCTACCAGTTCCCTGGTCCATTCAATACTATTTTTGATTATCCCACATAATGAATATTTATTGTTACTCAACTTTTGTTGGCAATAACCCACATATTTCAGGGAGGCAAAGAAAAGTGGGGTGGAAAATGTTACAGATTCTCACATGTATTCCCTGTATCACTGATTTCAACAAACTGGATTGAAGACTGCTATATGGATCAAATGCTCCAGGATAAAGATACACGGCCATGCATAAATTTCTCAAGAATCAACACAGGTTCATACAGGGAAGGAAAAAGGACAAAGGACAGTCAACAAATTTGTGAGAAGTTTGGCCCTGATCTGTGGCTAATATTACAAGTCTGAAGGGACAAATAAATTCCTATTTTTCTCACACCTGAAGTTTGCACAACAGTTCTTTTTCCGTATTTCTGTATTTCCCCCCCAAAGTGACCTGTACTTGATAACTACATTCAAGTTATGAAACAACTAATCACACAGATCTCAACGTTCATCAGAACTCACTCAAGGTAAAAGGGCAAAAAGGTGGGGAAAAAGAAGTCCCAAACTTTGGTATGCAACCAAACAGAACAAGGTACATGTTGAGACAAGGCAGATTGAAAAGAAAATTACAGTTTTTCTCAAACATAGTTATGCAATACAGATAGCCACATTTTAAAAGATCATGGTTCACAGTCAGTTTTCTATCAGGGCTGCTCACTGTGGACTTGGCTAATTTGGAAAAAAAGCCGTTACATTCTGCTAGTTCTTCACCTTCACATCGCTGTTTTCTGTAGTGAAAACCACAAGCTTATAAT